TTAGGTTCTGTCCTTTAGTCACTCACTCTGAATAATGTTATCATTCCTCATGACCTCAATGCAACTACGTTTTAAAATACTAAATATTTATCTGTGGTGCAGATTATATGTAACTATTTCTTGATATTGCCACCAGAGTAACACATAACAGGAAGCACAAGCTTTGTGCAAAAGCTCAAAATTGAACCTCCTAAATCGTTTACATACCCCCAGCCTCAAATCTCTCAAACCCATCACCCACCACTATTCGCTGAACCATCTGCTACCTATAATATAATTATATATAGCCATATATACCTATAGGTACTATTAGTATATAGTAGAAGGCCCTACATGATCTGACCCCAAAACTTCTCTAGCCTCATATGACTTTGCATTCTAATAATTTGTGTTTGCTTCAGCAGCACTGCACTACTCACAGTTTCACATGTGTTTTATGTTCTCTCTCCTTTTATGTTTTGGAAGGCTGGTTATACAGATGGAGCTTGTATTCTGAATCTTTACTGTAAGGTGACTTGGTTGGGCCATTTCCTTAGGTAATCTTCCTTTTCAGTCTCTTTGGATTCTTTCTCTTACACTGCTGAGATTCCACAGAAAAGATTTTTCCAATCTCTCTCCTGATACTACCTGTCTGCCAGTGTTCTTTCAGTTAAGTAGAAGACTGGAGGGTCTCTGTATTGAGTATGTAAACTTTCAATTAATCTTGTTTCCAATATGGCATCCTTGTCCTCAATTATGCCTGGTGTCTTATATTCCAGTGACCCTTTCCAGAAAATGAGCCTCAAGCTTTCTTTCAAACTTCCAGAGTGTGGGGAAATTGGCTATCTTCTAGAAGGAGAGGGAAGCAGATCTGGGTTTTAACTGATATATATATCAGTTAAATATATATATATGAGATATATATATATATAATTATTTTTTTTTAATTTTGAGACAGTATCTTTTTCTGTTGCCCAGGCTGGAGTGCAGCAGTGCAGTCATAGCTCACTGCAGCCTCAAACTCTTGGGTTCAAGTGATCCTACTGCCTCAGCCTCCCAGGTAGCTAGGAATTCAGGCATGGACCGTCACACCCAGCTAATTTTTTAAAAAGGTTTTTTGGGGGTAGAGATGGGTCTCTCTATGTTGCCCAGGCTGATCTCAAACTCCTGGATTCAAGCAATCCTCCTGCCTTGGCCTCCCTAAGTCCTGAGGTTACAGGGCATAAACCTCTGCTCCCCAGCCTTCTTAGCAGATTTTTGACCAGCTTCCTATTTTTCACCCTCTCCTTTAAACCACTTCCAGAGGCATTTGGTGCTGCCTATACCTGGGTTCTTGAGAGTTTTGCTGTATCAGTCTGGTCACTTATTCCCCACTGCTGGCCAACAATTCACCTTTCTCAAGTCTGCTAAGTCAGTTTGCCATTTGCTCATTTAGAAGCCTGTCAGCTTCTAAAATGTTGTTGCTACCCTTTTCTCTTAGTCTTTTTAATTTTTTTTCTTTTCAAAAAAGCAGTTTTCTATTGTTTTAGTAGAGTTTTTTGGGGAAAGGAATACTAATTGTGTGTTCAATCTTCCATTTTTCACAGGGAGTCATCCCTGCCTCCATGTCTTTGCATATGCTTTTCCTACTCATTGTGTCCTCCCGTCAGAGGTTCTGAAACTCTTACATTAATCTTTCAATTCTGTGTTCAGGGAGTATGCACTCTCAATGCCTTGACCTTTGCTGAAATTCACCCCTCCCCCTGCTACTTCTAGTTCTTGTATTTTACCCAATCTATTTAGTAGCACACGAGGATTATAATTATTTGATTACATATTGATTTTCCTTACTAAATAAATATTTAATTTTTTTTTTTTTTTTTTGACACGGAGTCTGGCTCTGTCTCCCAGGCTGGAGTGCAGTGGCGCAATCTGGGCTCACTGCAAGCTCCGCCTCCCGGGTTCACACCATTCTTCTGCCTCAGCCTCCCATGTAACTGGGACTACAGGTGCCCGCCACCACGCCTGGCTAATTTTGTTTTGTATTTTTAGTAGAGATGGGGTTTCATTGTGTTAGCCAGGATGGTCTCGATCTCCTGGCCTCGTGATCCACCCGTCTCAGCCTCCCAAAGTGCTGGGATTACAGGCGTGAGCCACCGCGCCCGGCCTTATATATGTAATTTTAACTGGATTTCACAAATTATTGCATTAGTAGAGGCTATTCTTTGATAAAAGGTGAGACTTTTATTTAACAACCATATGTTGTTATGTTTATGTTTATGTTAAAGTTATGTTTCTAAAATGTTAAGAAAGATTCGATCTGTTTAGTATCTTGCTAACAGGGTTAAGTCCTCTTTAAAACTGATAGTACAGGTGGGGCTCGGTGGCTTACGCCTGTAATCCCAGCACTTTGGGAGGCTGAGGTGGGCAGATCACCTGAGGTCAGGGGTGTGAGACCAGCCTGGCCAATATGGCAAAATGCTGTCTCTACTAAAAATACAAAAGTTAGCTAGACATGGTGGTGGTCACCTGTAATCCTAGCTACTCGGGCAGCTGAGGCAGAAGAATCGCTTGAATCTAGGAGGCAGAGGCTGCAGTGAGCCAAGATCGTGCCACTGCACTACAGCATGGGCGACAGAGCGAGAGACGCTGGCTCAAAATAAAAATAAATAAATAAATAAAACTGATAGTACGAAGATAAACCTAAGCACACATTCTGTCTGATTTATAAAAAGCTTAGTTTTAAATCCTAAAGTAAAAGTTATTATGGAATAATTTATTGTAAAAATTTACAGTTTTATTAAATTTCAATTTTCTACATGTATTCCCTTCTCTGCAATGAAATTTAAATCAAGGTAGTACCAGGCCATGTACAAGAATCATGTTCAAGTTAAATTTTTGATAGTGCTAAAAATATCTTTCTGATTTTATTAATTCTATAAATGGAAGATTAGTGTTTACATTATTTTCTCAGGAAATATGAAATACATCTTTAGGCTGGGTGCGGTGGCTCACGCCTGTAATCCCAGCACTTTGGGAGGCCGAGGCAGGCAGATCACGAGGTCAGGAGATCGAGACCATCCTGGCTAACATGGTGAAACCCCGACTCTACTAAAAATACAAAAAATTAGCTGGACGTAGTCCCAGCTACTCGGGAGGCTGAGGCAGGAGAATGGCATGAACTCGGGAGGTGGAGCTTGCAGTAAGCAGAGATGGTGTCACTGCACTCCAGTCTGGACGACAGAGCAAGACCCTGTCTCAAAAAAAAAAAAAAAAAATTGAAATATATCTTTAAATATAATGTGTGAACTTAACACATTTTGAGTTTTGAGTGATCTAGCATAACCATATGAAAATAAGGCACCAAATAGTTAGGATATTTTAGATTATTTTGTATCTGACTGTAAATGTCCAATTCTATGTAAATAAAAATAATACAAATACAGTGACTGCTGATGATGCTTCAACTGGTTAAATCTTATAGAAACCCTTAAAATCATAGAATCTCACAGTTGGAAGAGAGCTTAGAGTTCCTCAGATCCAAACTTCTGGCCAGTTTACTTCAAAAGAACCCAAGACAGAGATAGCTTGAGCTACTATTTCTGAATAACTTCTTATTTAGTAAGTGCATATCTATACCTCTCTTTCTAATTTAAATTCTCTTTCATCTGTTTTATTACTCTAGTGAATATATCTTGCATGGGGAAAATATTCTAATCATGTCATGATATATTCTCTACATACACTAGCCATATTTTTGCATAGATTTTCACTTTAAATAATGTATAGAAGAGTGACTTTTTCATAATATATGACTTAGCACAGTTCATAATTATTGCAGTAGTGACTCTAAATTGCATGCATTTTATTTTTGTAGTACACATTGTGATCCTAAATAAAAGACACATATGGGATAAACAGGCCTTTAACAGTTATTATTTATTGTGTTCTTATTTATGACTACCTAATTATGCAAGAAAGAAAGATTGAATAGAACAAATTTACTGATAGTGAAATGTTGAATATCTTTGATACTTGACATCCTTAATGCTTCATCATTGTGTCACTCATCAAACCTAGTCTAATCTTTGTTTTAACCATAATGTTAAATAAGGGTATTTAATGTTTAGCTAGGCTTTACTACCCAGCTGAGTGATGTAGGAAACATTGTAAGTAGAACATTAACTTAGAGGAGTAAAGTATAGATACAGCTGGAAAGTGCCGCAAGAAGCTGCTGCTTTATTTCAGGCATAAGCCATAAAGAAGTTGATCTGTGTAATTATACTCAAAGCAAGAGAACTGCTCTGTGATCTGTGAATGCTTATATGGTAAAGTAATATAATTGGAACTGGTGAAGTTTTTATGCCTATGAGACATGATGAGGAAAATACAATTTTTATCTTAAAGAAATTAGTTTTGTCTAGCACCTTTGGGATCCACAGTGATTGCCATAGGTAAAAATTAAATAATGCAATATAATTAGATTTTAATTGCTATTAACATTAAATTCCAAATGTATCAAAAATATGAGCACCAATACCATCATCAGCAATAATTTACTATGTGCCTTCTGTGTGTGAAGGGGATAAATAGATTTCAAAACCTCAAGAGTAATTACATGGCAGAATCTAATAGCACGTATTACTCTTTTATATCATAAAGTAAAACTACTTTACATATGAGGAAACTATCTATTTGATGTATACAATAATTTCTCTAAATTATTTCAGCTAGTCAGTGGGTTGTTGAACTGGAATCTGAAGAATCCAGATCCCATCCTTTCATTGATTATGTCACTAAGATAAGTCACAGAATCTTCTTTTAGGGAAGTTTTCAAGAATAGTAGTAAGCTGCTATCTTAAAATATTGATGTCAGTAGCCTGAGAATTTTACCTCATATGCAAGCATGGGATAAGACAAACACAGGTTTCTCTTCTGTACCAGTTAACCTGTTTTATGATTATTTCAAGATGTGAATAAAAGCTTGGAAATTGGCAGAATCTGTTTGAGGATTACTCAAGGATATTTATAACTTGTTTCAGGAACAGCATCTGTTGCAGTTGCAGGTCTCCTTGCAGCTCTTCGAATAACCAAGAACAAACTGTCTGATCAAACAATACTATTCCAAGGAGCTGGAGAGGTATTTGCCTTGTATAATACTTATGTTCTCCTAAACTAACATATAATTAGTGTTAATTGCTCATTAACTCAAGATTTGAGGTATTCTTTCAAACTTTTAGTATATTATGACTGTAGGCTTTATGGAAGATTCCCAAATTAAGTATTGAGACATATTAATCATTCATAGGATAATTTAGTACAGAAGTATTGAGATATTTTTCACAGTTTTAAATTTGTAGTATTATCAAATGTTGCCATAGGTATTTGTTATGCATATCTAAGGTGCCATACAGGAAAAGTTTCCAGTGTATGTGTATATATACAAGCCTTGTATATATACAAGTATTTAAGCTGGTTTATCTGATACTGGCTTTTAGAATACTCCAGTGTTACAAATACAAATTTTTAAAATTTGACTCACAATTCAGTGTGTACATATGTAACTACATATGTGTTTTTAAGCAAAAATATTTCGAATTAGGGATTTATAGTACATTATTACTGTTCACATGCAAAAATCCCAAAATATTTTAAATTGTCGGAAAGAGACTGCAGCAAGACCAAATTATGCTTTGTTATTATTTGCTTAATTTAATAATCTGAAAGAAGAAAACTAGACTCCTATAATAATAATAATACGCCACCAAAATAGAAATTAAAATATTAGTTGAGTTTGAGTTTCTTAAGGGAAAACTGCCAAAATCTCTTTAGAATTATAGAATGTAAGTAATAGAGAAATATTTTGTGGCTGTATATATATATATATATATATGTATGTATGTATGTATGTATTTCAAGAAACTTTAAATTTTCAAGTTGAATATGATTATGAACAAAACAATATATTACACTGGTAGATATTTGTTTATGTTGTGTTGGTTTTCATTTTGCTTGTTTTTAGATAAAACAAAATATGTGAAGTTAGAACTCAAATGCCAAGATACAAATATGTGAAAGTATTCAGAATGAAATCACAAATTCACTTTCACATTGAAATAAAAATCAAGACTGACAGCTCATTAACATTTGAGTTCTCTATTTTGTGGATTATTACATGCTGTATTTAACTTTAGTAAATGTCTTTGAATTTTCAAAGGGTTTGATGAATGGCATAGACCAGTTCTTGATACTCAACTAGGCAGAAGAATTCATGGTTGGATGATTCAAAACCAGCACTTGTTTGTCCCTGAAAAGATATTGGAAATTTCACAGATAATTATAAAATTTACCAAATACCAAGGAAGTTGATTCCTTTAATCTTTCAGTAAATTTCACAGCACTTTTGGTATCCAAATTAGAAGAGTAAGTAGATGCTTGGAAACACTTTTTTTTTTTTTTTTTTGTCAGTTTCATTCTGTTGCCTAATTGGTCAAGTTCCCATCCAAATGACCAGGCTTCTTTCTTCAAATTCAATTAGAGGAGCTTGAACCTAACAATAAACAATACAGTTCAATGAGCAAGGTTGACCAGTTCATTATTTTAAATTCAGTATTTTTTCTTGGAGCAAATCTTGGTTGTATTAACAGGATTAAATACACTGACAATCAAGGATATCACCAGTTTATCTGTGGCCAAATAGCAAGCCACATAATAGTGGTTCTGTTGTAGTAAAAAGGGTAAATAATTGCTATTTGGCTTAACCTAAATGTGACAAAAATATTTTGTTCCCACCAACAAAGACAAAATGGGGTGAAATGTAACCCTTAATAAGATATCATGTAGAACAACTTTAAAATTTTTTCTTTTCATCACTGAGGCTGCCCTAGGGATTGCACACCTGATTGTGATGGCCATGGAAAAAGAAGGTTTACCAAAAGAGAAAGCCATCAAAAAGATATGGCTGGTTGATTCAAAAGGATTAATAGTTAAGGTAAGAATTTTTCATTTTTAACCAGAATAAAAATCAATATGCCATTCTGGATGACCATCTCAAAGACTACTCTGTTTCTACAACCTCCCTTTACACTGTGTTATAGAATAACCATTAAATACAAATGATCGTGTCATACAGTAATACTGATACTTTCCTGAATAAAGAAGAAAACTATGGCTTAGGAACAGATTCCATCTGCAGTGTGAGTCAGCTCCTTACACCCCTTTGAATTGACAGTCCATTTGAATTAGTTTCTCTTTCTTTCTCTCTCTCTTTCTCTCTCTTTTGAGATAGGGTCTCACTCTATCACTCAGACTGGAGTGCAGTGATGCCATCATTGTCACTGTAGCCTTGACCTCCTGGGCTCAAGTGATCTCTACCCCCACCTCAGCCTTCTGAGCAGTTGGGACCACAGGATGCTGTATCCGGCTGTTTAAAAAAAAAATTTAAAAAAAAAAAATTGTAGAGACAAGCTCTCACTATGTTTCCCAAGCTGGTCTCAAACTCCTGAGCCCAAGTGATCCTCCTGCCTCAGCCTCCCAAAGTGCTGGGATTTACTGGCATGAACCACTGCACATGGCCAGTGTAGTTTTAAATTTAGCAATTTGATAATGATACAGATGAAACACCTAGATATATCACTTTTTATTGAGAGTTGATGATCAAATTGTACATTAGCTAGAAAGAAATGAGGAAAAAATGAAACAGCTACTCTTTACCTGCTACTTTCTCTCAATGAAATTCTTAAGGGTTTGAATGGGGATTCCTGAGAGAAAACTTTGATAAATAGCTTGTTTGAATATTATCTTACCTGAGCTTGAGTTTCTCCATCTTTAATAGAGATAATAGTACCTACTTCATAGTATTATTGTGAGAACTAAATAAAATTAGGTTTGTGGCCATATTGTTATATAGTTATAAGGCATTACTAATACTTGTGCCACCTGTGCATATCAATCATTCTTTAAACTGCTAGAAAAAAGTACATATAAATCCCCTTCCTATGTGAAGATGAATGACTAGGAATAACTAATGATAAGCAGTGTCTTCTGGAATTTAGTATAGAAATAAATGTGAATGTGTACATACAGAGTTTCTGGAAAGCTGTTTTATGTGTATTCAGAGCCTTTAAAAGTTTATATTTTTGAGCCACTAATTTCCATTCAGAGAATCTATCCCATGGAGATAGAGATATATACAGTGTTTTATGTATGAGGATGTTATTGCAGCATTATTTACAATAATGATATAGTTTATCACACATTAATTATAATAGTGATATGTTATACTTACCTAAATAAAGGATGATTGTCAAATGAATTGTGGAATAGCCGCATTAATATATTGTATAGACTTAAAATTGTTTTCAAAGAGCAATAAATGACATGGTAAAGGATTCATAATATAATAGGTGAAAAAAACAAATACCATAGTATATATTACTTTTTATTTAAAATATAGTTGTATATAAAAGTCATAGAAGGAAATATATCAAATTCGTATTACCTTAAAACATTATTTCTAATGTCTTTATATATTTTGAATTCTTAGTAATCTTTTCCTTTAAAGGTAGAAAAATACTTCTTTTTAAAATTCAGTATACATAGATATATTTTTCTTTAAATGAAGAAAAAACATATGCATAACTTTTTGTAGCAAATATGTATATATAAAGACGGAGACCTTCAGTATGGATTTCTTGGCTGAAAAATTGCTACTGCTTTGAAGCATCAGCATAACTATAAAAATTTGTACACTGTCATCATGTGACAGATTGTGGGCATGAAATAAGAACGTTTACTGAATAAAATCACCTGTGGATTGGGTGTTGTTCTAGACGCTGGGGATTCAATAAAGCCCTTGATCTCAGGAAGCTCATAGTCTAGTGAGAACAATTCAATCCATGAGTTACAGAACTAGAACCATATGAAAGTGTTATAAAAAATATGTTCATGGTGTCAGGGTGCACAGGAGATGATGCTCCCAACCTCACTAAGGAAAAAGATGGGAATACTGAGGAAGATATCAAGACAAGGTGTCTTTTAAGCTAAGTTGGAAAGGAAGAGTTAGGAGTTTATCTAAGAGTTAGGGTCTCCATAGATATCTTGAATTTCCTATATACAAAACTGAAACAAAGGAAGTATGATGACAAGTTCACTGAGAGATCTTGATAGAAGCTAAATATGGTGTCTTTCGTCTCTTTGTATCTTCAAAGTTCTATACAATGGGTAGTACATACCTGACAACAAATATTTTGTTAATAAATGAGTTAATAAGTGGCTTTACAGACAGGAGAACCAGCATGTACAAAATAAAATATTTTGGTATAAGGGACATTTACAGATTAGATTAGAAAGGAAGCAGATGACAAGAGATGAAGGACTTTCCGAACCCCGAAGATGAGCAATTGAAGAAACCTGTGCAGGGGGGTTTGCCTCTCCTTGACTCTGATGGCATTGTGGAGGATGGATTGCAATGAGGGGAAACTGAGAAAAAGAACTAGTTACAAAGCTGTTGCAGTAATCCAGATAGAAATTAATTGGGCCATGACCATGGAGGTGAGTGAAAGAAACTTAATTCAGTAGGTATTTAAGAAATAGAAGTGACATACTGAGTAACTGATGAAATATGGAAAGAGGAGTAGGGTAGAGTGGAGGAAGGAGTCTAGGTGGACTTGTTGGGGGTCTAGTAAGGAATGAAGAACAGACCAATTTAAGTGAAGTAACAGGATCAGTTTCACACATAGTAAGTTTAAGGTGCCTGTGGAGACCTCACACAGAGATGTCCCATTGGCAGTTGGAGATAAGGGACTGATACAAAGGAGAAGGGTCTGGGTTGGAGGTAGGAATCTGGGGGTCATCATCATGTGAATAGTAGGAATAGTAGGAGCTGTGGAGAAAGCTACACAAATTGTTCTCCTTAGGGATATAAAATATTCAAGAGTCCAAAAAGTGGAAGTCTATGTGGTTTTATTTTATTGTCTCTGATGACATTTTTACCTGAAATCTGTGTAAAAATGTATATATTTTAGCATCTCGAATAATTTTAACACACATTTACTGAGCTGAGATTCCAGAGTCCATGGATATAATACTTGAAATAACTGTGAAGTTGTTGGCTAGACCTAGTCAGTCTCTCTTACTTCATGTCTTTTACTTGCCAAAATAAAGAAGTTCATATATTCTGCTTGCCAAGATAAAGTTACATTTTAAAAGGTTGTTATATATTTAACAGCTTGTACACTATTTAATATAAAAGACACATATTAAGTTTCAATCACTTTTTCTTTCATGCTTTTAAACAGTCAAAATCCTTATAATGACTTTTGTTGCAGAACTGTCTTAGAATAACCAGTAAATTAGTGTAATCCTGTTTTCAAATTTATATGATTCTTTTGTGTTTTTTGTCCTTCATTCTTAGTGCTTTTACATCTCCTGAGAACCAATAATAATCATTTTATTAATTTTATTAACTTGTAATTGTTTATAAAATGTAAAAATACCATAAAGTTTTAAATAAAAAATTTTCTTGGTGAAACTCCACTTTTTAAAAACAGCACCTCAAAAACTAAAATATGAACTGTGAAATCAGCTCATCTTTGAAGTTATATCATCATCACACTAGATAATTATTATTCCAGTGTATTTTCTCTTTCAAGTTTCAGCATCACAGCCATAGCATTTTCCATCATTTACCCCATATCCATATGTGCAGTGGAAAGAGTTAATGCTATAGAATACCAACATTGTAAATAATTCATCCATATCACTAAGGTTAATTGAAGTCAATTACTTGGTTATGAATCATACTCAAATATCTTTATACTTTAGTATATAGTACTAAATATAAGATACCTTAGTTTTTATAGTGGGAAATAATTTATATAGTAATTGTGTCAACTAATATTAATACATTTTAATGTAAAATTAATACTTAGTTTTAGAAAACCTTCCAAAATAAAAATTAAAGTAGGAATAAAGACAGTGAAAAGAGGATGAAAAGGGAACGTTGCTAAGTATTTGCATTTTGCAGTGATGATTTAGAGCATTTTCAGGGAGGCTAAGAAGCCACAAAACAAACCAGGTTTACTCTTTGTCTTAAATAATTATTTTCACTCTCACTAATAAACCAAATTAATGCTAAGACAAAACATCAAAATAAAAAGTAGGATATTAAGAGACCTTATGAAGGATAGATTTCATCTAACCCAGAATGAAGCCGTAAACTGGCTTGAATTTTGTTTTTATTTTTATTTTATTTTATTTTGTTTTGTTTTAAATAATTTTGCTCCACTGTATTTTTCTGATTTATAGTTAAATGGTTAGCTCTTGTGGAAAGAGATGGTCAACAAAGGTATATTGTATGTTATAAAGGTAGTTTTGACAATATAGTTATTTCATTCCTGAGAGTATAATCTACAGGTTGAGGGCTTGAAACTACAGACTATGTAGTTTAATAACTACATACATAATACACTGTGGTTTAATAAAGAAGTCTAACTCCAAAGAGACTATGTAAGCTGGTAAAAAGTTTCTGGCTTGATTATTTTCTCCCTCTTTTTCATTTCATATAGAGTATGATCAATGCATGTAGACATTAAAAAGAACAGAGGTCAAAGATTATATGCATGAGTCTTAGAAAATTATGAACATTGATTTTTAACATACAAAATTAAATACTGATGGAGTTCACCGCCTACTATCTTAAATTAAAAACACTCCATGTGCCTTACTATACTTTTGTCACATAATTTATCTTTGCTTAATCTGTCCTGAGATGATGAAACACAGCTCTGGACTCTTAGCAAGTGCACATACCTGATTTACAACAATTGCAGTGAAATGCTACTGACTATGTGCTGAGAAAACCCTGTCTACAGATCCAAAGAAGGGCCGGGTTCAACTCTGGTAAACTAATGACATGCCAGCAAAAATAGGCCAGTATATTGGGGGTAGGTAGTCCAACTGGGGCTTGTGGAAGAGTTTTTCTAGTCCCTGTATGTAGGAAGGAATAAATATTTATCACTGGTAATCTAGAATTAGTTTACTTATACCTATCCTGGGCTGTGGAATGATAGCCCAAAATCTTGGCAACCTTTGCCCCCGTTCTCCTCCCTACACCCACTACAAACATAGGTGCTTTTGAAAAGATGGTAATTCAATGTGGTTATATCTTCTACGATATAGTAAGAATCATCATAATATAAAGGAATAGGGGAGATTAAAGTAATAATGTCACAAATAAAGTTTCAGCTATCCATAATATGTTTGAGGTAATTAGAGACTCTTGAAAAAAAGAGAGAGAGAAAAGACGCATCATAGAATTTGGAATTTCTGAGGTAAGAGGTGCCCACATGCACTTTGCCAAAAGAAGGCAAAAAGATTTCAGCAAGGGATTCTGAAAAGGGAGAATAAAGGGAAAAGACATCTCATCTCCATACCAACTGAAGTTATTGGCATAAAGAATATGTATTCCAAATCAGATTTTGAAAAATAGAGAAAAATAAGCCATTAGTCTAGAAAATAGAAGTCCAAAGGTACAGGGAGTTGCCTCAGTATTACCGGATTTAGAAAAGGTTGTCACATTCCAGTAGTTTCTTTAAACTAGATCATCAAATTAATTTTGAAAATGATAGAGAACACACTTGGGAGACCTTTTGTGTGTGTGTCTTGATTCTTCTGTTTTGCCAAGTAAGACCTTCAGTATTGCTAGTATTACCATTTCATGATTCCTGGCCTGTTTTCAGCATTCTTTCAGCATTTGTAAGTCATACCAGGAATCAAGCCTTTGAAGGTGTTGCTGTGGGTAATTTATGCTTCTTAGTAGATGGAATGTCTTCTGGCTAAGTTCTGGCTTCAGTGTCTAGGAGCTGCCAGTGCGTATACTATGATTAATAAAGATGTTTATGATTGAGCATGTATCTTTTTCTTTTCATATATATTCATCTGTCTTCTTTATTATTTGTTTCCCATTCTAGGCAATTTAAATAGTTTTCATTATATCTCAGTTTGCCAGCCAAAAAATCTGTGACTTCCAATTTATCTTATTCTATAGCTTTTCTTCTTTAGACTCATTATTGTATACTTTTTTGAAAACGTAGCACATAACCTTTTAAAAATGCATGTGGTAGGGATATCATAGATCATTTAGTACACTGATTCTCAAAACTGGCTAATCATTTCTTTTTTTTATTTTTATTTTCTGAGACGGAGTTTCACTCTGTCACCTTGGCTGGAGTGCAGTGGCGTGATCTCGGCCCACTGCAAGCTCCACCTCCCAGGTTCACGCCATTCTCCTGCCTCAGCCTCCTGAGTAGCTGGGACTGCAGGCGCCTGCCACCACGCCCAGCTAATTTTTTGTATTTTTTTTAGTAGAGACAGGGTTTCATCATGTTAGCCAGGATGGTCTCAATCTCCTGACCTCATGATCTGCCCGTCTCAGTCTCCCAAAGTGCTGGGATTATAGGCGTGAGCCACCACGCGTGGCCTACAGCGGACTTTTAATAGGAGAAAATATACCAAAACTTTAAGTGCTGGAATTATGATTTTTTTCTTCTTCACAAAAATTGTACTTGCAACAACAACTAGCATCGAACTCTTATTATAAACCAGGTACAGTCCTGAGTGTTTTACATGTATTACATTTCATTTACACCACAAACAACCTGATGAGGTAGAAATTCTTATTATCCTTATTTACAGATGAGGAGACAAGCACGAAGAGGTTCATATGTTGCAAATTTTTTTATAATTCAGTATATTGCTTTTAAAAACAGAGCCTGGCATGGTGACTCACGCCTATAATCCTAGTGACTCAGGAGGCTGAAGCGAAAAGATCACTCCTGAGGCCAGGAGTTCAAGACAAGCCTGGGCAATATAGCAAGACCCCCATCTCTTTAAAAAAATGAAAAATTAGCCAAGCATGGTGGTGCATACCTATAGTTCCAGCTACTAGAGAGGCTTAGGTGGGAGGATCCCTTGACCCCAGGAGTTCAAGGCTACAGTGACCTCTGATCCACGGCACTCCAACTTGGGTGACAAAGTGAGACCTCATCTCAAACAAACAAACAAAAAAAAACAGAAATAAAATGATAATAACCCTTTAAAGCAAGAACATTGTACCATCTTCATTATTAACAACTTGCAAAAACTATGACATACTATTTGTTAAGTTTTTGCCCAGGGTGATTCTGTGCTATATTGAAAAGGCTTTGAGTTCCAGTACAATCTCTTGCCTTGAGCAAGTCCCTTAAAGCCTCTGAATCTGTTTCCACATATGTAAAATGACTATGCTTATACTTGTCCTGCTTCTCAGAATTGTTGAGGGGATCAAATGAAATATGTGAAAACAACTTGTAAGTCATCAAGTACCATATAAAATTAGGCAGTAATTTATTATGTAGTCAGATCTTTAAAATTTGCAGCCAGAATATTATAATTAGATGTTTACTAGATAACACATGGCATATTCATAATTGGAACATTAAAAACAAAAACATAGAAAACAAATACTGAGAATATCTAACATTGACATAAATATGGCTTCAAATTCTTTTCTGAGTCAGTGGCATAAATCGGTAGTGCTACAGCTGAAGCCAACTCAAGATTCTGAGACCTGCTATAAAACACAATGTGTGGCAAACAATATTCTCTAAATGACATTTTGCATTGCCATTTGTTAATGCTAGTTCTCACATATCTGTAAAATTAGGGTTTTTAATATCAGTTAAATGAAGGACTTTGTTTTGTTCACTGTTACATCTCCATTGCCTAGAACATTGACATATAAATGTTTGTTGAAAGAATGAATGAAATAACATTCTGACAATTGAAGAGATTTTAAGAATAGCTGTAACATATCATACATAAAAATGTTAAGCACAAATGTTTGTAATATATATACTGAAATTTCTTTGACCCGCACATGTTTGCAGATTCTTAATTTTTTCTCACTTGCTTTACTTAGGGACGTGCTTCCTTAACACAAGAGAAAGAGAAGTTTGCCCACGAACATGAAGAAATGAAGAACCTAGAAGCCATTGTTCAAGAAATAAAACCAACTGCCCTCATAGGTAAACTTTTTCTCCTCCCCCTTCCCCCCCGCCCCTTATTTTGACTTGATTGGTTTTATTTACTACCAATTTTTGAGGTATAATTTAGTCTTTTTGAAATTCTACCCCTTTGAATTAAAAAAACTACACATTCGCTCAAGCGACAGTACCCTGTAGAGACCTAGATTTTTCACTTTAGTCCTGTCTTCTTTCTCTTACTGACCTGAGCTGAAGTGTGTGGCCCCCTCCTCTAAGTGTCAGCCTGCTAATACCTGGCACATTCAGCACTTTTCTAGGCTTGATTACTCCAGATAGACAGTGGTTCTCAAATAAGAGGGATTTTTGCCCTGCAGGAAACATTTGGCAATGTCTGGAAGCTTTTAGTTGTCTTAACTAGGGTCGCGGGGTTGGAAGCGGAGTAAAGGGAGGGGCTATTGACATCTAGCCGATAGAGGCGGTGGAAGGATTCTACTAAATATCCTGCAGTGCACTGCACAGCCCCTGTGACAAGGAATTATCCAGCCTAAAATGTTAATACTGCTGAGGTTGAGAAACTCTGAGGTAGATAAGACCCTCTTGGAAGACAGGGATTACATCTGACAAATCTTTATATTCCTTATAGCACTTAATACCGTACTTACACATTGCATGTGCACTGCAAGACTTTAAAGTGGTTTTAAAAAACTCAAAGGAATTTATGAATCTTTATGTTGTGCATATATAATTTTGGTTTTTACCTTGTATTATACTCCATTCCAACAAGCTCTTGTGAAACAGATGACAATGTTGAAAATAATGATGATAACTATAATAAAACAAGTACTTATTCCATGACAGGAATTTTACTAAGTGTTTAATATTGTTTTACAAAATATATTCTGTCAATAATCTTATTGTTTTTCATTTCCATTATGCTAATTGCTTTATTCTTCTGTTAAAGTTATTTCAATGGGTGGTACTTTACTTTTGCCGTTGAATCAGATGGTTGTCTTAAGTGATAGCATTAGTTTATAAAACTTAATTGCTTTATAGCCTGACAGACTGAAATGTACTCATAGAATTGCTTATAAAGAAAGTATACATATTGGATACAAATTTCCAAGTGATTGGTCACTAACTCAATGTATTATAGGAGCCAAATCTTATCTTTAATTTTTAATAGGTATTTGTAGATTTGTGACCCTAAGGATTGTAAGGATTGTTGGCATTAACAAACGTGCCTCTTTTTGTCACTATAATACAAATAGTCTATACAGCATTTTGTTTAGGATCTATTAGAAAATGACATGACAGATATCATTGATTTGGGGCATGGTCTTCTTGTGTCAATTAACCAATGATAGTGTTAATTACCAGCTTCATTTTTCTTCATTAGGAGTTGCTGCAATTGGTGGTGCATTCTCAGAACAAATTCTCAAAGATATGGCTGCCTTCAATGAACGGCCTATTATTTTTGCTTTGAGTAATCCAACTAGCAAAGCAGAATGTTCTGCAGAGCAGTGCTACAGAATAACCAAGGTAAAGTAAAACTATAACTGATACTTGAATAATCACATTTTTATTCATTGTAGGGAGGCCTAGGATATCTCAGGTGCTTACTGTTTAAGTTTAAAAATTATACAAGAAAAGCACACAGATCAGAGGGATAAGAACTATTTCCTTTTCTAGAATGTTGTATATATCCTCTTCTTCAACAAAATAAAATACATATTTTAATGTTTTACTGATAATTTTCCATAAACGATTTGGAAATATCTAAGATTTACACATAAAAGTTAAATAGAAAGGAAGATACTTGTTTCTAGAGGCTTATTAAAATAGCTTTTAACTAGCTATTCCCAAATACTGAAGCGTACAATGTAAAACCACAACCTTATTTTTGCTTTGCTAAATCCTGGGTTTGGGTTTTGGTACTATGGGTGGAACATTTGGGCAACTATCTTGACATGCAGCCAGATTGGGATAGGCGTCCTCAATGCTTCAATATTTTACTGTGATTCATTTTATACCATGTTTGTACTAATATATATTTGGCTGATATGCTGAAAGGAGCCTTTTTCCCTTAAAAGACTTTAAAATATCATTACAACAAAATAGAGGTTGAGTCCTATCTATCTAAAATGTTTATTTTGGAAATAAATCCAAAATGAACTAGAGAGGTAAACATGAAAGCTATGTCACTCTGCACTAACTGGAACTTAATGGCTCTATTTTAATCATATATCCTTAAATGCTCAATACTAGAATTAATGATTTTTTTTTTTTTTTTTTGCAAGGAGCCGCTCCATTATGTATCTCTCTTATTTGGGATGGCATCAATGTTCTCACTAATTTTAATTTTTATCTCATCTCTAGATTGGGGAATTTGCCCCACATTATTCAGTAGTCCTTAAATCCTTAAAGGAAAAAAAAAAGTCCTTTGAGCAACAACAAAATTTTAGCATCATGCCTTGCACATATGTGGCATATAATAAACAAGTATTTAATTAATTATTTTGTCTTAATATCTCTCAACAGGCCTCAAGGGTTAAGAGACTTATCCATAATACACATAAACAAAATTAGCCAAATTTATGTAGTTGTGTTTTAAACTTTGAATATGTCTGATATAAATGTAGGCTTCAAGTCTTTCTTATCATCTTGCCTAATAGTCTATGTTTTTCTACATAAAACATTGAAAATTATTTTGAGGATGAAAATTTAGACACTGGTTTGGCTAAAGGATTAGAGAAAAAGGAAAGGTCTGCCTGTTGCTGGATGTGAGTTTCTGCTACTGCAGGCACAGGTGAAGATAGGAAAGGTTAAAATACAATATACAAAAAGACTATTGAACCATAAAAATACAATCCGAAAATGGTATGGGGAGATTTCCTTCACTATGTTAATAACATATATATGAGAATATTTAGCTAGCTACGTACTATCATTTATTTAATGACATTTCTCCTTAAAATATGGTGATTATAGAAAGGCAGGAAGAGTGGGAGTCAAGGAGGAGGGGGAGATATATAATGTTACAGGCCTCTTTCTCAAATATAATTTTCCGAAACCTTTATATATGAAGTAATAATTTAGCTACATTAGAAAGTTGTTTATAACAAAATGTTTTATCTGCTAAAGAGCTTAAGGTATCAGGTTTGTCTGAAAACAAAACCGAATTCTGTGCAAAACATAAGTGTCTTATAAATAGCTAGATGAGAATTTCTGTTTTTCTGCCTCATCTATTTTCATCTTTTTATGTCTCAAAGAAGGTTGAATTTTTATGTTATACAACTTTAAGAACAACTAAAAGGTATATTATGACATTTGCTAAAAACAGGTTAATATTAATATCATTATTTAGACTCTAGATCCAAGAGATATGAAAGTTAAAACCCATTGTGTCATCATTTAAACTATGCCTTGGGGATTTGATGCTTTAGACTTTTCAAATAGATTTCTTAGACTGTGACGCTTTATTTTTTGAGGGTTTCTGATTCCTACTTTGAAGCCTAAATACTCTCAACTAGATATCCACTCTCACCATCACAGACAAATATTGTTTTGATTAGCAATATGAAATGCGGCACCTAACAGGCCCTTAGTTAATGACTTTTTTTTTTTTTTTTTTTTTTTTTGAGACGGAGTCTCGCTCTGTCACCAGGCTGGAGTGCAATGGCATGATCTCGGCTCACTGCAGCCTCCGCCTCCCAGGTTCAAGCGATTCTCCTGCCTCACCCTCCTGAGTAGCTGGGATTACAGGCGCTCACCATCACATCCCACTAATTTTTGTATTTTTAGTAGAGATGGGGTTTCTTCATGTTGGCCAGGCTGGTCTCCAACTCCTGACTTCAAGTGATCCGCCCTCCTTGGCCTCCCAAAGTGCTGGGATTATGGGCATGAGCCACCACGCCCATCCAAGTTAATGCCTTTTTAAAGCAAGCAATAAATGAGATTCTTCAAAACAATTATGACAAAATATTAATACTAGGCAAAATGAAGACAATTGTTGAAAAATACTGATAACTTAATCTTCCTCTTCCTTGCCAATTCTACTCCTGCCAATGAGTTTGTTTCCTATGTGATTCTCCACATAACTCTTTATTTTATTTTATTTTTTGAGCTGGAGTCTTGCTTTGTCGCCCAGGCTGGAGTGCAGTGGTGTGAGTTCACTGCAACCTCTGCCTCTTGAGTTCAAGCGATTCTCCTGCCTCAGCCTCTCGAGGAGCTGGGCTTACAGGCACCCAGCACCACTCCCCAGCTACTTTTTGTATTTTTAGTAGAGATGGAGTTTCACCACGTTGGCCAGGCTGGTCTCAAACTCCTGACTTCAAGTGATCTGTCCCTGTCGGCCTCCCAAAGTGCTGGGATTACAGGCATGAGCCACTGTGCCCAGCCCACACAACTCTTTACAATATAGAAATATGTATGATTTTCCCAGTTTTTATTTTGGAAATGTGTTGATTCCTAAAGCCCAACCTAAAATATCATCATTTTCAATACTTAAATATTAGCCCATCATTTTTTATCTTCAGATGTCTATCGTTGGAAGCCTATATAAAAATGGTTGATGAGCCTATGGGTTGAACCACTGCGGAGAATAGAGTGATAGTCTTAGGGCATACTGTACTTTGCATGCTCCTCCTGGATGTAAAGAGTAAGACAGAGAATAGTAATAATCACCCATTCCAGAACTGGTTGTACAACATCACAAAAGCTTGTCCAGACTTATTAGCAAGTTGATAAAAAACTAGACTTCTTTCTAAGTAGTTATAATTTAGGCTATGGGATAGTTCTGTTATGATACATTTGTTTTAAAATATTCTGCTTCTTTTAAAAGTGAGTTGTATGTGTCTTTGTTGTAGGGACGTGCAATTTTTGCCAGTGGCAGTCCTTTTGATCCAGTCACTCTTCCGAATGGACAGACCCTATATCCTGGCCAAGGCAACAATTCCTATGTGTTCCCTGGAGTTGCTCTTGGTGTTGTGGCGTGTGGATTGAGGCACATCACTGATAAGATTTTCCTCACTACTGCTGAGGTATTGTAAAATCCTCTAAGTTTACCAAGGGTTTAAAATACCAAGTGTGCTCAGCCTAGGTTGTCTAATGTTTTATTTATCTAGCATCTCAGCTTACTCTCTGAAAGAAGTAAAGTCTGAAGAAGAGGAAATCTTTCCCAGTGGAGAATAAGGGGTGGGTAGCATGTTCCTACTGACTCACAAACAAAAGGTTCTTCTTCAGTAGACATTAGAAAAATTGTGTTTTTGATTTCTTAAGAGGAACATTTTTGTGTCTTCACACATCAGATCAAGTTCTGTGACAGTGATGAGACAATTAAAAATATTGTTTCCAGGGCTGTAAGTGGTAGCTCATGCCCGTAATCCCAGCACTCTGGGAGGCTGAGGCAGGTGGATCACTTGAGCCCACGAGTTCTAGGCCAGCTTGGCCAACATGGTGAAACTTCATCTCTACTAAAAATACAAACATTAGCCGGGCGTGGTGGTGCATGCCTGTGATCCCCCGACCCAAGAGGCTGAGGCAGGGGAACTGCTTGAACCCAGGAGGCGGAGGTTGCAGTGAGCTGAGATCACGCTACTGCACTGCATCCTGGGCTACAGAGCTAGACTGTTACCTTAAAAAAGCAGAAAAAAGAATTGTTTCCTAATGATGATTAAGTGGTAAATATTTCCCTGTTGAGAAATATACAGTGCTTAATAATGAATGGCATTTTGAAGGTTTAAAGTGGAAGTCTGATATGGTATAGTGAACATGTTTATCACTCAGGGTTCAGTACAGGAAACAGAAACCACCCTAGTATTTAAGCGGAAGTTAAATCAAAATAGGAAATTAGTTGTTTATAAAATCATTAAAAGAATAGGAGAAGTGAGCTCTATCTGGGCCTTGAGGAAAGATTCTCAGAACATCACAAAGCAGGCCCACTGGGGAATCTTGTACTGTCATGAACTGTGAAAGATCTGAAATTTTACTCTACTTGCAAGCTAACAAGTTAGCCACAATTTCATAGATATTGACAGAAAACATGAAACTTTTAGGTCAGAGACAAAGGGCTTTGATACTTCCTAGCACAAGAGATATCATGAGCTGTATGTTCCTATCAGCTTCGCTCCCCATCCCAAGCCTCAGCAGGATGATACAGTGATTGGGCATATATTTGTAATCATGAGCTTTTGGTAATCAGAATGTTCATCAGGTTGATATCATATTTTCAGATTTGAACAGGTTACCATTTGTGGATGAGAAACTTGAGTGAATTTCTTCTCTTACGATTAAACCTTTGCAGCTGAACTGATCCAAAGAACTTGATTGATAATCAAATATTTTTATCCTGCAAATATTCTTTCCATTGTGAAGAGGAACCCCAAGAATATAGACAAAGATTCTTATGTTACTGATGTGATCTAAAGGAACATAATATTGGTGGCTAGCGCCTGGCGTCATTCTATGAGAACAGATGCTTGGAAGCAACAATGTACTCCTGTCGTTTTCTTCACTATATTAAAAAGCGTTCCAGCTGATGTCTCAGGTTTTCTTTAACTCAGAAAATCTTGTTAAACATAAATGGATGTCTGATTACTAAGAGAGCCTGTAAAAGTTGTTTTTGCATTAAGGAAAATGTAATCATTGTCTTTTAGAATAGCCACATCAGAGTTTTGGTTACTTGTAGTAGTCAGTGTTTTCTTTCCTAAATAACTCCAGCACCCTCTAGTGACAAATTCCATGAAAAATATTTTCAATTTACTCTCCAAGAAAGGTAATAATCACTACCCAAAAACAGTTTGAAGGAAAAAAAAAAAAACGTGGTGTTATCAACATACCACATCACTAATTCTTATCATAGCTAGTGATCTCTCTGGCTGTATCTTTTGGCCTTTCTACTGGTTTTCTCTTAGGCTTCAACACAATATTCTGTTTTTATATCATCTCAATTATGTCCCCACTCATTATTTTCTTTGTCTCCTTTTCATCTCCCTCTTAAGTAAGAGGTTTTTTTCTAGTGTTCATTTTTTGTTAGCAGTTTTTTCTTCTCTTTTTCTTATGCTTTCGAAGATCTCATTCATTCATTTATTTCTGTTATCTTCATTCTAGTAGTGGCCAAATCTGTGTATCTCTATTCTCATCTTTTTCCGTATCTCCAGTTGCCTGTTGGGTAATTCCACAGACACGCCCTACTGTGTCCTTAAACACAACATTCTGAAAGCCTTACTTATCTTTCCTCATTCCTAGCATTCACATTTTTATTAGTGATACCCCCTTTCCAAGCAGGCAGCAAAGCTTAGAAGCTTGACATTCTTTTCATTCTCCCTCATCCCATAGCCTTCAAACACACCATGCATATGTATGCCTGTGTAACTGCTTTATCTCTTATCCTGCCTGGAAAGACCTGAGAATTATTCTCCAATGAGCTAAGCTTGTCCTTTATGGTGCTGCTTAAATCCCACCACATCCTGGGATCTTTTTGTGACAAGTCTAGCTCATCTTGATCTTTCTCCTTAGTCATGGCTGTCTTTATTACACACTTTGACATTTAATTTTATTTCTGGTTATGATACACTCGTGAGAGCTTCCTATTGTAAAAGATTAGGTGTTGCCTTTATAACTAAATTGTAGATTATCGTGTTTTTTTTTCTTTTGAGACGGAGTCTCGCTCTGTCACCAGGCTGGAGTGCAGTGGTGTGATCTTGGCCCACTGCAACCTCCAACTCCCTGGTTTAAGCAATTCTCCTGCCTCAGCCTCCCAATTATCTGGGATTAAAGGCACATGCCACCACACTCAGCTAATGTTTGTATTTTCAGTAGAGAGGGGGTTTCACCATGTTGGCCAGACTGGTCTCGATCTCTTGACCTTGTGATCTGCCCGTCTTGGCTTTTTAGTAGAGAGGGGGTTTCACCATGTTGGCCAGACTGGTCTCGATCTCTTGACCTTGTGATCTGCCCGTCTTGGCCTCCCATAGTGCTGGGATTACCGTGCCCGGCCTGTAGATTATCTTTTTTAAAGACAGAGAGTCTTCCATATACTTCTTTTAAAACTTCAGTAGCATCTAGCACAATGCTAGGCACAAAGCAGAAAATTAGTAAATACTTTCTGAATAGGATTAAATAGAACTACTCATGTATCTTAGCAAGAAGAATAAATACAATACCACAGACATTCACTACCAGATGGCCCCAAAAAGAAGAAAAGTACTTCTTGTCTACATTATATTTTGTAGTTAACAAGAGTAATATGTAGGAGATATATCTGAATTTTTTGTTTTGCAACCACAAATTTAATAACTGTTAGAATTATTGTCAAAATACTAGTTGGATCTCTTATGGAACTGGAAATGTCATGGGTTAGTACCAATCTCAAAGAATATTTCTGGACATTTTTATATCATGAAGAGGTTTTTGGCTTTCCTGGCACTGTAGACAGTCTTCTGGACCTCTAGTGATCAGCCCTTCTGTCCCTGTGTGGTCTATAGTGTATCCTGGGAATAGACCCCTCACCTCCTGTTCATACCTGGGAGACAAATCTCAGCCTCCTATCTTCACACCACTCCTCCTGAATCATGGGCTGGTGTCTTCTCATCTGCCCTGCTCCCCTCCTTTCTGATATCTTCTCAGAGGACCCTTTAGATAATCATCATGGACAATAGTATCTAGAGGAACCTTTTCCTTGCTTAAGATAATTGGAAATCCAACTGCCATAACAATGTCAGAACAAAATAGAGAGAGATTATTTTAAATTAGCCACAATGTCATTAGAGAGAGACAACCAAAGCACATCAAAGGCAGCAAAGTTTTTTAATAAATGATTTAATTAATGAGAGCCAGGCTAGGACTCTTGTATGCCCTCTCCTTTTCCCCCTAGAATCAATTCCTTACATTTAGTGCATCTCCCCATGGTCACCTGTTTGCTACTTGGTTTTCTTTCACAATTCTTTGGCTCCTTCTTTGTTTGACAGTCACACATGGAGAGTAAGGATTCAGAATGATTCTTCTTTACTTGGCTATCCTGTGACTGTCTTCAGTCTCTTTAGAATAACATTTGTGTGGCATCCTAGAGAAGAAACAATGACATTGAATGCCAGCAGTGTGCAGGTGGTTATGGGTGGAATACACATATTGTGTCGTATAAATAGTTGAAACAACTTGAAGTTGATTCGTTATAGAACTTGCCCCCAAATCAAATAGCTAATAATCTATACACTGTAGAACCAGATCTGACACCAAAAGTTATTTTGCTTCCATTTGGCTATGTGGGCTGCCTATTAGTTCTGTTTTAAAACAAAATAACTGGCCAGGCATGGTGGCTCACGTCTGTAATCCCAGCACTTTGGAAGGCCGAGGCAGGTGGATCGCTTGAGCTCAGGAGTTTGAGACCAGCCTGGCCAACATGGTGAAACCCTGTCTCTGCTAAAAAATACACACACACACAAAATAAATAAATAAAAAATAAAATTAGCTGGGCATGATGGCACACCCCTGTAGTCTCAGCTACTCAGGAGTCTGAGGCGGAGAATCACCCAAGCCCAGGGAGACGGAGGGTTGCAGTGAGCCAAAACCATGCCACTGCATTCCAGCCTAGGCAATCTGAGTGAGAGCCTGTTCCACATACATACATACATACGTAAAACAAAATAGCTAGGTTTCATTGAATACTTTTCTGACAGACACTGTGGTAAATTGTTTGCTGGCATTTATTTCATTTAATCCTTATGAATTAGGAACTATTATTAGTCCTATATTACTGATGATAAAACCTAGGCCTAAAAAGGTTAATTAATTTGCCCAAATGCAAACAGATAGTAATTGATGGAATTAGAATTCAAACATAGGTCTACCTCACACCAGAGCCTGAGCCTTCAACCACCATGCTCTGACATCTTTGTAACATTGTGCTATTCATTTTTTTCTATCCAATTAAATAACGCTACCTGACACCCAGAAAAGTTGTTGCTTAACATCTAAGAAATTGTTATTTAAATCTGCCACATCCCCTTTGCAGAACAAGAATTAACAAAAATTTTTAAAAGTTTCAATTCAGTGGAGCAATTAATATAAAATGGTTTTATTTTGCCCCCGTCATTGTTTTAAATCATTCTCCACCAGCTCTCCCTCTTGTTTCTCTTAGTGACATTTTGATAAGAGCCCATAACTTTCAGTTCACTCATTCTTTTAATATTCTTTTAATTAAATACCTAACATATGCTAGGTATTATTCTGAGTGCTGGGAATATATCAGTGAACAATAATTAAACATCTGTGCAGTTCAAAATGTTATATCCAATTCAAATGTCCTGTGCTCTCCTTGCAGTAGGAGAGGCCTGCAGTAGCAGATAGAGAAAACCCATCTGTTCTTTCACTCTTTCTCTGATGCTAGCACTTTGAGCAATTTGTGGGTAAATGTTTGGCTCGACTCTGAGAAACCTCCTCCCTCTTTTTGTTAAGGCCTACTTCTTAAATGTGTTGGAGACAAGAAGGAAGAGCATGGAAAAGGGCAAACATCTCTTTTATTAACTCAATTATTAACTCCTCTAATCCTCTCTTGCAAGGTCCATATCTGGCCCTCTGATGTAGGATGTCTGGCTTCAGCTTAGCTTCCTTATACTTCTTCAGGTCTCCAGGGATGCAGGGGCCACCTCTGCTGTGGCCACTTGACCTTGGAAACTCATGTACCCATACCAGATCCACTGATGGGAATGCAGACAGCTTACAGCCACCCTGTCTGTCTGGCTCTCCCTTTCCCATTCTCTTCTCTGCTTAAGTACACATATCTATAACTGCTCAAGCTGAGTAGGGGAACACAATGCCCCCAAGTCTTTCCTTGAGGACACCATCAGCCTTTAAGAAGGAGTAGCATGCACCAAGAAGAGGCGAGGAAAAAGCCACTACATTACCCAGTAGGCCAAACCATGGTTCCAGCAAATTTCCCTGCCTCTCACCAGCTCAGTCTTCTGGAAGGGGATGGCTGTGGTTGTGGAGTTGGCAGGGCTGATTCCACTTCTGAGCTAGATGGCAAGCCCCACTTATTTGGTGACTTCCTGATAGTGTGGAATAGTTAATGTCTCTTTGTCCTAAAATTTGGGACCCTCACCACTTCTAGGGCAAACATCCTATTAAAAAGGCAAGAAATTAATGAGTTAAATGATGAGTTTATTATAAAATTGTGGTCAACACCCTACAATTATATGTTATAATATTTTGTATAATATATAGAGCAATACTAATCAAACAAATAGTTATACTAGTAACTTTACCTCCCTCTCCCTTCCCCCATCTTACCTCTGCCTAATTGTCCCTGGTCAGAAGTCCTTAGTCACCGATAGGATTTAACTCCAAACTCCTTTTTTGGCATTGATAATGCACCAGTCCTTATTTCTGTACCCAGACCCTCTGTTCCCCCAGGTCAGCACACTTGGGTGTGCTGAGTCCAGCTCACACACATCTCTGCCTTTGGTCTCTGGGTTTTTTTTTTTGGTTTGTTTGTTTGTTTGTCTGGAATGCCTACCTGCTTTCTGTTTGTCTAACTCCAGGCTTTCTTGTAAGTTTGCCTTTCAAGCCACTGTGCACTATGAGGCCTTCCAGAACTGCTCTTCCTCGGGATTTCTTAGCACCCATATTTCACCTTTAGCCTAAGCCGTCTTCTCTTTCAGCGTTCTCTTTTTCTTCCCATACTCTGTTTCACTAAATTATACATCTCTCAAGGACAATAACACTTTTTTTTTAGCTTCTCTGTAGTGTTATGCTTGTTCAGTTCATATATATTTGCTGATGGCAAAAAATAATATTTTGGAAATAATTTCATGATTTAAAAATCTAAAAGATATTAAGATATACTGAAAAATAAATATTTGATTATTTAAAATGTTACAAAAGAGGAAGGTTTCATACTCCCTCTCTGCAACCACATTTTCATGGAACAAAGGCCCAGGTATAAACTGTTTTAGATTTGCCCCCATCTAGAAATTTAATCAAAGTCTTAGAACTGGAGAGAACATCAGGGTTACTGAGTCTCCCTCTATGCCTTAGGTTTCAATACAAAATTTATCACTGTTTGATTTGGAACTAGGGAATGGTTTGGGGACAGCAAATATTGAGGCTAATTAGGTGATTTAGATAATCCAGAGTCTGTGTAAAATTAAAATCCTACTTGTAGTGAGACTCTGAACTAGCTTTCTCAGCCTTTTGCTCTACCTCCTGCACAAGAATATGACTCAGAGTTGGGAGTAATGGTATGCTCAACCTCGGATAGCTGTCCTCCTCTGCTTTTAAGAATCCATTTTCATTACTCTATCATCTGCTTCTTTCTTTCTTTTCTTTTCCCTTGTTCCCCTAATGTATCAGTTGGAAAGTATCTAGCATTTCATGGTACAATAGAAAAGGAAGTGGACTAAAAGGAAACCTAGATTCTATTCCCATCTTTTTCACCAATTGTGTGATCTCACACCTCTCTGGGCTTAGTTTCTTTGTTGATAGAAGTGGGGACGAAATTAGATAATCATATTAATGTAACTGGTTTTTGTATGGACCATTATATGTAACCATTTACTTAGTTATTTGCATACCTGCCACATTGTATCGTGTGAAGTATCAACACTTTTTTCTTTCTTTTTTTTCATAAGGTTATAGCTCAGCAAGTGTCAGATAAACACTTGGAAGAGGGTCGGCTTTATCCTCCTTTGAATACCATTAGAGATGTTTCTCTGAAAATTGCAGAAAAGGTAAAACCACCCTTGTTCAAGCTTCATTATTTTTCCTTCCTTCTCTTGCTAAATATGCATTTTTAAATATTAAAAATCTGCTTCCTTGAAATGTATATCTGTATCACCTCACTATGTCAGAAGTCAGAGAAATGAGGCACATTGACACTGTAGAACTTAGGAGCTACATTTGCTCCTCAGAGAAGAATGGAAATATTGAGCTGAATAATTAATTTCCCTCTCTACCATTGTTTTTTCTTCTAAAATTTAAATAATTCATTAGGGGTTTCTGTCAGCCAGATTTCTCCCACTTCACCTTTTTAAAGTTATTCTTTTCTATATCACATTAGTCATAATTACCAAAATATTACAGATATGGTAGAGTAACATTTAGACCTTGAACCACCATCCATATCCATGTCACTATGATATATGGCATCATAAATGACAGATCACAACTGATAATACTGGGTGGAAGGCAAAATAAAGAGGGCAAAGAACTTGAAAGCCGTTGGGGTGGCAGATGAGCTGCTGAAGGAGTTTGCCAAGAAGAACCCAAAGACAGAGAAATTTTCTGTAACTAAACTGGAAGATAAGTGAACTTTTTTTTTTACCGTGTAATTGTATTAGTTTTCTTGGGCTGGGATAACTACATACCACTGTTATGTAGTAACTATTTTTAAGTATTTAAGCCACAGACTGTGAGACTTAAACAACAGAAAACTGTTTTCTCATAATTCTGGGAGCTGGAAGTCTAAGAAAAAGATGTCCGCAGGTTTGGTTTCCTCTGAGGCCTCCCTCCTTGGCCAGCAGATGGCTGCCCTCTTTCTGTGTCCCCGTGTGGCCTTTTCTCTGTGTGTGTACACCCTTGTGTGTCCAAATTTCCCCTTCTCATAAGGACACCTGTCAAACTGGATTATAGACCATTCTAATGGTCTCATTTTAACTTAATAGTCTCCTTAAAGGTCCTATTTCTAAATACACTCACATTCTGAGGTACTAGTGGTTAGGGCTTCAACAATGAATTTGGGGTGGGAGGAACACAATTTAGCCATGACAGTAGTTATATGTTTAAATTAGTGTTTCTCTACCTCAGTGTTGTGGACATTTTGGGTCAGTAAGTGTCGTGGGGCTGTCCTGGGCATTGTACAGTCTTTAGCAGCATTCCTGGCCTCTGCCCACTAGATGTCAGTAGCATCTGCTCAGTTGTATCAACCAAAGCTGTTTCCAGACATTGCCAGGCATCCCCTTGGGGGCCAGATTGCTCACGATTGAAAATCACTAGCTTAAGCTATTAGCAAGTTATCTGAACAACACCATTTAAGAGTCACATATCATTATTTATCTTGTTGACTGAAGGTAGAGTCTTAGAAAAAGAAGTAATTCTCCAAAAACCTTTACATAATAATGTGCTTGGTTATCTATTTATGAAAAAGTATATTCATATAGTCTACTAATATGTATCTGCTAGTTTTTAAGTAGTTTAAATTATTAATATACTGAATAGCATATCATCATTTTAAGTTCATTTTAGAGATTTAAATGCAAAGGAGTTAGCTTATGATTTTAGCTTATGATTTTAGTTAGCAAGGGACAGCAAGGGAGTGCCAAAAGATTCAGATATCACACCTAGAATAATGGAAGAATACAGAGTGCATACACAGAAACTGGGAAATTAGAACAAAGAACCAACCAACTTCAGAGAGGAAGATATGTAAGTGGACTGCAAGTTTGAGGTATCAATGGCACATTCAAATGTACCATTTTATCAAGTAGATAGAAATGACTGAAACTTAAAGAAAGGCTAGATAAAAGACCTGGGCATCTTCTGCATGTGGTAACTGGTGAATGTCTAGGAATGGATGGAGTTGCCAAGAAAGCAAGTATGGAAAGGAAAGAAAAATGAGGATAGAATATAGTTTATTATTCTGTCTAGAAGACAGAAGAAAGATGCCAGTTCAGAAGAGAAGTGGTCAGGATTTTAAGAAGAGACTCCAAACTGAGCATGTCAAGAATTAGGAAAGAGACAACTTCAGAATGGGAGTGGAAATTGTGACCAACACAGCCAAATCCTGGAGAGAAAAACTGATGCAGACTTTTATTTGGTACTTAACAAGTTATCAGAGACGTTTACAAAAGAAATTTCAAGATGTAGAAGAGGTTCAGAAGTCAGAGAATTAGGAAAGCAATAAAAGACAAGCCACTCTGTCAGAGAGTTTGGCATTGACAGGACAGAGAAAGTGAAGATTTCACTGAGAGACGGGGTTATTTCTATGGTATATCTGGGAGCAGAAAGAGGAGATGAATTTCCACTTAGTCTATGTCAGTAATGAAACAATGTGTTTTGTTATAAAATTAATATAGCCATCTTAAACAGGCCCAAGGGATCTTTTTGGGGTGATGAAAATATTCTAAAACTGAATGTGGTGATATGGTTGCACAGCTCAGTAAATGTACAAAAATAATTTAGTTGTACACTTAAAATGCTTGAATTTTGAGTGAATTATATCTCAACAAGTCTGTTTAAAAAGTAATAATACCACATTATAGGCACTTTGGAAAACAAATAGAGAAAAGGAAAATAATCAATATCCTATTTTTCTAATGTAAGCATTAGTTTTTCCTGTGTTTGTTTTGTGTCTTTCATTTGTTTATTTTCTAACATTATTATAATTATAAAGTAAGTATACATATTGTTTCCTGCTTTTTCATAGACATTTCATAATACAGCACAGTATTCATAACCTTAATTGTTCATAAATGCATAGTTTTACATTGAGATGAGATACTTAATCATTCTAATATTTTTTGAAATCAGACTTATCAAAATAAGTCAGTCATATAAATATTATTTTAAGAACTGGTGTGAATTAGACTGGGCATGGTGGCTCATACCTGTAATCCCAGCACTTCGGGAGGCCAAGGCAGGTGGATCACCTCAGGTCAGGACTTTGAGACCAGCCTGGCCAACATGGCGAAACTCCTCTTCTAAAAAAGTACAAAAATTAGCCGGGTGTAGTGGTGGGAGCCTGTTATCCCAACTACTTGGGAGGCTGAGGCAGGAGAATTGCTTGGTTTTAGTTTTGGTTTTGGTTTGTTTTGTTTTTGAGATGGAGTTTCACTCTTGTTGCCCAGGCTGGAGTACAATGGTGTGATCTTGGCTCACGGCAAACTCTGCCTCCTGGGTTCAAGTTATTCGCCTGCCTCAGTCTCCCGAGTAGCTGGGGTTCCAGGCGTGCACCACCATGCCTGACTAATTTTGTATCTTTAGTAGAGATGGGGTTTCTCCATGTTGGTCAGGCTGGTCTTGAACTTCTGACCTCAAGTGATCCACCTACCTCGGCCTCCCAAAGTGCTGGGATTACAGGCATGAGCCACTGCGCCCAGCCGGAGAATCGCTTGAACCCGGGAGAAGGAGGTTGCAGTGAGCTGAGATCATGCCACTGCACTCCAACCTGGGTGACAGAGTAAGACTCCATCTCAAAAACAAACAAACAAACAGAAACTGGTGTGAATTAAATAGTATATATGAAGCGATTAATTTTGATGAGGAGAATCCATTTAAGAAAGTAGGGAAAGAGAAGATGTATGAAGGTACTGAGGAGATAGTTTGAGTTGGTCAAAATGGAAATTAAGATCATTTTCTCTGAGTAGTTGAAATTTTCTCCTGCGATATGATGTGATGATGTGATTCTCCAGTGAGTGATGAGAGTCAAATGGAAACTTGAAGACGTGGGAAGGTTTAGAATTGCTTTTTGGGAACCACGAGAGGAAGTTTTAAGAAAAGACAGAAAAAAGTATAATGTGCAGACTAGAAAAAAACATAGCACCACAAAAAGTTTACTGCATGGTTCTAGGATGCACAGCCACAAAAGGAGAAAGCCAGCTCTGAGGGGTCCCCAGACAAGGGACTAGAATTATGCATGAAACATAGGACATGATGACAGGAGATTCTGTGACACTGGCAAAGAGTGCTGATCCTGACTGTGGTGTCCAGATGACTAGCTGAGCAGGATCACGAGACCCTGGGGTACAGGAGGAGATTTTGTAGGAGGCTGTGGTCAGAATAAGGATTCTTGAAAATTCAAGGTTCAAGTTTAGCAGGACTATTTAGATATTTATTTCAAGTTAATTGTCAGTTAGGTCATGACAATACTTTGAACACTGGCTTCTCTGAGAAGTCCAGATGTGATAGTATTTGAATTAGTCTCACCTATTCACACTTTCTTTAGTTGCTGGTGTCATTTTTCTATCTCACTATATGATTTATAATTGCATTTTCATCTTACATCTTCATTGCTTATATGTGCTTTTAATATGAAACACTTAATGTTTTTGCAAACATAAGATATACAGTGCTTTTGAAATGGATAAAAACTTCCACTCACATGGGCTCACCATTATCTCTATTTATTAAAATAATTAATATTCTTTTCTTATATCTAGATTGTGAAAGACGCATACCAAGAAAAGACAGCCACAGTTTATCCCGAACCTCAAAACAAAGAAGCATTTGTCCGCTCCCAGATGTATAGTACTGATTATGACCAGATTCTACCTGATTGTTATTCTTGGCCTGAAGAGGTCCAGAAAATACAGACCAAAGTTGACCAGTAGGATAATAACAAACATTTCTAACTCTATTAATGAGGTCTTTAAACCTTTCATAATTTTTAAAGGTTGAAATCTTTTATAATGACTGATAAAATGCTTAGATTAAGATTTTACTTTAACAGTCTAAAAATTGATAGAAGAATAACGATATAAATTGGGATAAACATCACATGAGACAATTTTGCTTCACTTTGCCTTCTGGTTATTTATGGTTTGTATCTGAATTATTCTGCCTACATTCTCTTTAAAAGCTATTGTACCTACTACTGAGATACTCATCGTTTTTATACAGGAAGCTAATGGGAAGACCAAAATTAGTAATAAATTGATATAACCAACATTAAAACCCATAATTATTTTGTTGACCATTTTGTTAAAATCTACTTTTCAAAAAAAAAAAAAAGGTAGAAATGAATCTAGGCATAGGCGAACTTTTGCTAAGCAGAAATAACATTACTTTGTTGCCTAGAGAAAGATAACTTCTCAGGTATTTTTATTCCAGTCCTAGATCATGTATGTTCTTTTGTGCAACCGAATTTTAACACTTCTAAGAAAGAGAAAGATCACTGCTGTTTACAATGCCTTGTACAGCCTTACATTTTAATATTCTTTTGTCATTGTTACATCTCATAGAGTAAAGCTCTTATTACCTTGATCCTGAGTCAGAAATCCCACCTGAAAGCACCTTTTTTTCCCCTTGATCAAGCATCCTATCCTTCAGCTACCATACTGTTGCTACAGGGACTTTGTGGACTGTGGCCCCTGCCCAGAGGTTGGCGCCTTCAGTTCAGCACAGCCTGAACAGTGAGAAGGTCTGAAAGGAGAGTATATAGTTAAGATCCTTGAGAAAGGGCTGCCTGAGGAACTGACCTCTTAAAGATCTCAGGAGTCAGACAATTTAGGTTCCTACTGGAGTTACCTGCCAGAATGGCCTCTTAATTAACTCAGGTAACTAAGAACTAACTGTGTTATAATCATCTCACTTTTCCCTGAATTTGGAGAAAGTATTATAATTAAGTTCCCAGTATCAGAAATTGTCCTTACATAAGATTAAAATATCTTGATGACCAATACCATTCTATGAGAAAGAGTAGTTATATGCCCAGGCTGTATTAATTCACTTCAGAAACTAATGTTTGAAGTAATGGAAAAAATTTTAAGTTATAAAACTAAGGTGCAATGACATTTGCTATTTATTTGTAGAATTATTTGAAGAATTTTGTTTTCGAAGTAATGCTTTAAGGAGTATAAGATGTTCAAGATAAATTATACTATAAAATGATTTTATTGAAAGTTGAAGGTTACACATATTGTTTTAGGTATGAGCAGAAGAGGTTAAGGTATTTCTAAAGGTAACTTATAGTCAAGAGTTTCCTCAAAATAGTTATTTGGAGAAGAATCAGAATGTTTATGTATTTCTTGTCTGTTTCTATGTTGTCTTATAGCTCTAACTAAATGTGTTTACCTATGCAAAAGATTTATTAAAGCATAGAAAAAGTGAATGAATAAAATATAAAATAATTGTCCTTTTTTCTTAAAATGTTACATTGTAATGCTGGGTCTTGGGGTCATATGATTATGTATGATGAATTTCTAAAATATTCTAATAACTGCTAATTTCAGTAGGAACATCATTCATTCAGAACATATGTGGTTGGGCACAGTGGCTCACGCCTGTAATCCTAGCACTTTGGGAGTGTGAGATGGGCAGATCACCTGAGGTCAGGAGTTCAAGACTAGCCTGGCCAACATGGTGAAACCCTGTCTCTACTAAAAACTACAAAAATTAGCTGGGCTTGATGGCTCATGTCTGTAATCCAGCTACTTGGGAGGCTGAGGCATGAGAATCGCTTGAACTGGACATTGCAGTCAACCAAGATCGTGCTACTGCACTCCAGCCTGGGGGACGGAGTAACCCTCTGTCTCAGGAAGAAAAAAAACAAAAACAAAACAAAACAAAATATGTACTCACGTATTCTGAATACTGTGGTATGTGAGCCACTTCCTTGTCCTCAGGGAAAGATAATGAAATAAGCATTAGATAGTTACTTACTAAGTGTCAAGTATCCCACATATGTTATTTTAATGTAGTCCCCTCACTTTCCTTATGAAGTTGATTTTTTTTTTTTTTTTTTTTTGAGACGGAGTCTTGCTCTGTCTCCCAGGCTGGAGTGCAGTGGCCGGATCTCAGCTCACTGCAAGCTCCGCCTCCCGGGTTCACGCCATTCTCCTGCCTCAGCCTCCCGAGTGGCTGGGACTACAGGCGCCCGCCACCTCGCCCGGCTAGTTTTTTCGTATTTTGTAGTAGAGACGAGGTTTCGCCGTGTTAGCCAGGATGGTCTCGATCTCCTGACCTCGTGATCCACCCGTCTCGGCCTCCCAAAGTGCTGGGATTACAGGGTTGAGCCACCGCGCCCGGCCTATGAAGTTGGTATTTTAAGTAACGGGTCAAGTCCACAGAACTAATAAATGAAGAAAGTAAGCTTTATATCCATGTTCATCTTTCTTTATAGTTTGTTCTCCTTTCCCTAGGCTACAGTCTAGAACAGCACTGTCCCATGTGTAATTTTAAATTTTGTAGTAGCTTCATTAAAAAAAAAGACAGGTGGAATTCATGGTATTAATATATTTTTTTAAACCAATATATCCAAAATATTATCACTTCAACATGTAATCGACATAAAATTATTAAGATAGTTTATTTTGTTCATACTGTCTTCAACGTCCAGCACGTATTTTACACTTACATTTTAATTCAGTTCAGACTAGCCACAGGTCTCAGTAGCTACATCTGGCGAGTGACACCGTATTGGACAGTGCAAGTTTAGAAGAGACAGTTATATACCAATAGCTGTAAGACTGCATCTCCATGAGAGAAGTGAAGTAGAAGTCTGAGGGAAATGTTTACTCAAAAATATTTTGGTTAATAATGCCTCAATAAAGTAGATAAAAAACTAATTTGTGCCAGCCTGTCTTCATAAGCCAGCCATGCATATTAGGAAGGGAGCACAGCCCCAGAACAAGAAAGTTATTTAACAATTTTTTATAGAATGCTCACTTCGCTATTAACCAAAGAAATGTAAAATGCTACTGGAGCACACATGGAACAAATAAATTATATAGTGAGAAGGAGATGTCAGGGAAGAGGATATAACAACGTTAATGTTAATAAAATTAGACAAAAAGAAAAATGGAAAAAGATAACTTTATCACAAAAACAGAATATCTAAAGAATTAAATGTACATTCTAAATGTAAAAAATAAAATATCTGAAATTAAGAATTCATCAGACAGATGGCTTAACGCTGACTAGAGATCATAGAGGAAAGGATTAATGACCTCAAAGGCAGGTCGTTAGAAATTACCTACATTTTTTTAACTTTTATCTTAGGTTTGGACTTACATGCAAAGGTCATTATATAGGTAAACTTGTGTCATGGGGGGTTTGTTGTATGGATTATTTCATCACCCAGGTATTAAGCCTAGTACCCAGTAGTTACTCTTTCTGCTTCTCTCCCACCTCCCGCCCTCCACTGTCAAATAGACCTCAATGTCTGTTGTTCCCTTCTTTGTGTTCATGAGTTCTCATCATTTAGCTCCCACTTATAAGTGAAGATATGTGGTATCTGGTTTTCTGTTCCTGTGCTAGTTTGCTAAGGAAAATAGCCTCCAGCTCCATCCCTGTTCCCACAAAAGACATGTTCTCATTCTTTTTTTATGCTGCATAGTATTCTATGGAGTTTATCTAACACCTTCTCTTTATCTGATCTGGCATTAATGGGCATTTAGGTTGATTCCATGTCTTTGGTATTGTGAATAGTGTTGCAGTGAGCATTTGAGTGTGTGTGTGTGTGTGTCTTTATGGTAGAATGATTTATATTCCTCTGGGTATATACCCAGTAATAGGATTACTGGGTTGAATGGCAGTTCTACTTTTAGCTCTTTGAGGAATCGCCATACTGCTTTCTACAATCGTTGAACTAATTTGCACTCTCACCAACAGTGTGTAAGTGTTCCCTTTTCTCCACAACCTTGCCAACACTTGTTAGTTTGTTTGTTTGTTTGTTTGACTTTTTAATAATAGCCAGAATGTCACGAAGCCATTCTGACTGGTGTCACAATGAAATGGTATCTCATTATGGTTTTTGATTTGCATTTCTTTAACGATCAGTGATATTGAGCCTTTTTTCATATGTTTGTTGGCTGCACATATGTCTTCTTTTGAAAAGAGCCTGTTCATGTCCTTTGCCCACTTTTAATAGGGTTGTTTTTTTCTTGTGAATTTGTTTAAGGTCCATATAGATGCTGGATATTAGACCTTTATCAGATGCAAGTTTGCAAATATTTTCTCCCATTCTGTAGGTTGTCTGTTTTCTCTGCTGATAGTTTCTTTTGCTGTGCAGAAGCTAAATTTAATTAGATCTTGTTTGTCAATTTCTGCTTTTGTTGCAGTTGCTTTTAGTGTCTTTGTCATGAAATTTTTGCCTGTTCCTATGTCAAGGATGGTAATGCCTAGGTTGTCTTCCAGGATTTTCACAGTTTTGGATTTTACATTTAAGTCTTCAATCCACCTTGAGTTGATTTTTGTATATGGTATAAGGAAGGGGTCTAGCTTCAACATTCCACATGTGGCTAGCCAGTTATCCCAACACCATTTATTGAATAGGGAGTCTTTTCTCCGTTGCTTGCTTTTGTTAGCTTTGTCAAAGACCAGATGGTCATAAGTGTGTGGCCTTATTTTTGGGTTCTCTATTCTGTTCCATTGGAATATGTGTCTGTTTTTGTACCAGTACCATTCTGTTTTGGTTACTGTAGCCCTGTGATATAGTTTGAAGTTGGATAATGTGATCCCTCCAACTTTGTTCTTTTTGCTTCATATTGCCTTGGCTATTCTGGCTCTGTTTTGTTTCCATGTGAATTTTAAAATAGTCTTTTCTAGTTCTGTCAAGAATGTCATTGGCAGTTTGATCAGAATATTATTGAATCTGTAAATTGCTTTGGACAATATGATCATTTTAATGATATTGATTCTTCCTATCTTTGAGCATGGGATGCTTTTTCATTTGTTTTTGTCTTCTCTGATTGCCTTGAGCAGTATTTTTCAGTTCTCCTTTAGAGATCTTTCACTTCTCTGATTTAGCTGTATTCCTAGGTATTGTATTATTTTTGCGGCAATTGTGAATGGGATTGCATTCCCAATTTGACTCTTGGTTTGGCTGCTGGTGATGCATAGGAATGCTAGTGATTTTTGTACATTGATTTTGCACCCTGAAACTTGGCTGAAGTTGCTTATCAGCTGAAGGAGATTTTGGGCCAAGACTATGTGGTTTTCTAGATATAGAATCATGTCCTCTGAAAACAGGGATAGTTTGACTTCCTCTCTTCCTATTTGGATGCCCTTCAT